AGGGTGGGAGGGGTCTGGGGTAGAGCAGGGTGGGAGGGGTCTGGGGTAGAGCAGGGTGGGAGGGGTCTGGGTAGAGCAGGGTGGGAGGGGTCCGGGATAGAGGAGGGTGGGAGGGGCCTGGGGTAGAGCAGGGTGGGAGGGGCCTAGGCAGAGCAGGGTGGGAGGGGTCTGGGGTAGAGCAGGGTGGGAGGGGTCCGGGATAGAGGAGGGTGGGAGGGGTCCGGGGTAGAGGGGGGTGGGAGGGGTCCGGGGTAGAGCAGGGTGGGAGGGGCCTGGGGTAGAGGAGGGCGGGGCGGGTCCGGGGTAGAGGAGAGGAGGGCGAGAGGGGTCTGGGTAGAGCAGGGTGGGAGGGGCCTGGGTAGAGGAGGGTGGGAGGGGGCACTGGGTCTGAACTGTGTCCACCTAGGCGGTGAGGCTGGAGCGTTGCCAGGAGGGTAGCTCCACCGCACCCTGACACAGCGCACTCTCTGGGTCTGATTTCCAGTTTGCAGGGGGTCTCCTCCTGGGAGACTGCCGACTCCCCACTCGGGTCTCACTGGACCAAGCCAGGAGGACTTAGGGGGTAACGACCCCCTGCCCCCTCAGCTGTCACCTCACTGAGGATGATCTGATCTGACCGTTTACAGAGACCAGGGCTCCCTGCCCAGCTCCCCGGTGGGGTCCACGTGTGCTCGGGTCCCACCCGGGTGCGAGGGAATGAGTCCCTGGGGCAGAGAAGGAGGCCGGCAGGACAGCGTGCAGGGGACCCGCCTGGGCCTGACACTCTTAGGGCTCCTGAGGGTGGTCAGGAGGCGAGGGATGGGCAGGGAGTCAGCTGAAATCCCAAGGGGTGGGGGGTGCAGACCGGGGCCCGAGGGGGCCGGACTCGTTGCCTGAGGCCACGATGGTGCTGCTGCCATTTCACCCAGATTTCGGGCCTGGGGACCTCAGCATCTCCCAGGACACTGTCCTCTACGACCCCTCGAGGCCCTCCAAGACCACCCAAGATCTTCCAAGACCCCCCGAGACCCTCCAAGACCCTCCGAGACCCCCCAGACCACACAAGACCCTCAGATTATCACCCAAGACCCTCCAAGACCCTCTGAGACTCCTTCCCTCCCACACAACGGTGAACAGGGGTCGTGGGTGCCAGGGGGCGGGGGAAGGGCCGGGAAGCCCTTTGCACACCCTGCGCTGAGCTAAGAACCAGGAGTCTGTGCAATGCAACTCCACGTAGGAAACACGGTGCCTCGATTCAAGGCAGCCCCTTCCTAGAAAAGCCCTCTTTTCAGGAGCTGTGACCAGCCAGCCGCACCCTCCCCGCCACGGCGGCCTCCCGCAGGGATTCCCACGTCGGCCAGAATCTGAGATGTTTCGGTGCCCACTGGTCCTTTCGCAGCACAGACGGGGCGTGAAAAGGAACACGGGGGTTACAGTACCTGGGACAGGCGTTCCTGCTCCATCGCCCCCAGAGCCCCGCGGCTCTGCTCTGCCCCCTCCCGCACAGCCAGGCCCAGGTGTGTGAAGACGCCCCAGACGTGGGCGTCATGGTACTCGGCCACGCCCTGGAGAGAGTGTTCGCCGTCTGACACTAGGTGCAGGGTCGCCACCTCCGTGTTGCTGTAACCTGAAAGGACGGGGCGCCGTGCGATGGCTCAGCTGACCGCGGGGCGAGCCACCGCCCAGCGTCATCGGGATGTCTATCTGACTAAGTGCCAAGCGCACGGACGCCCAGAGGCGGCCCAGAGAACGACGCAAGGGTGTTGCTCTTCCTCGAGGTGACCCTCCAAGCCCCTGGGATGGTCACTTGGCCAGGCTACAGTCCCCAGTGAGACGTCCCCGTCGGGGAGAGGGCGCGGTTTGGTCATGTGCTTCGCACGTGCAAGTCAGCAGACTTCGGGTAAAGGAGGTGACCCTATGTAACGTGGGTGGGTCTCATCCCATCAGCTGACGGCCTTGAGAGCAGAGAAGCACCAAGCGGCCAGCCGCAGGGGTTCAGACGCGCCGGAGCCCAAAGGCACGGACCCATCTGTCCATATCCCGCGGGGTCTGCCTCTCCGGAGCCCTGAGGGGTACGGGGCGGCCCGCTCTCTTCCCACTTCCTGGCGGGCTGTCCATCCGGCCCGGCCCCCAAGGGCCCTTCCGGGACACCCCTACCTGCAGAATTGGAGGCTGCAGGCAGAGGGGACGGTGGCTGAGACCCCCTGTACCTCCACAGCCCCACATAACACCGTCTGTCGTCGGACGGACAGAACAGCATGGTGTCTACGGTTTTCCTTTTCTGAACTTTTAAAAAGTTTATTGAAACTAACTGTCCATTTGACATTTTCTCTTTTAATTAATTAATTAATTATATTTATGTTTGGCTGCGTTGGGTCTTCGTTGCTGCACGCAGGCTTTCTCTAGTTGTGGCGAGCGGGGGCTGCTCTTCATTGTGGTGCGCAGGCTTCTCATTGCGGTGGCTTCTCTTGTTGCGGAGCACGGGCTCTAGGCGCACGGGCTTCAGTAGTTGTGGCTCGCGGGCTCTAGAGCGCAGGCTCAGTAGCTGTGGCACACGGGCTTAGTTGCTCCGCGGCATGTGGGATCTTCCCGGACCAGGGCTCGAACCCGTGTCCCCTGCATCGGCAGGCGGATTCTTAACCACTGCGCCACCAGGGAAGCCCCATTTGGCACTTTACATATTGTCTTTGTTTGTTTGTTTTAGAAACTGGATTTTTACTGCTGCTTAATTTTCTTTTTTTCCTTTTTGTGGCGGTACCACACGGCACGCGGGATCTTAGTTAGTGGTGGAACCCAGGCCCCCTGCAGTGGAAGCGTGGAGCCTTAACCACTGAACCGCCAGGGAAGTCCTCACACGTTTTTTTTTTAAAGACTATTATCTTTAATTATATAAATATATATTTAAAAAAAACTTTTTATTTTATATTGGAGTATAGTTGGTGAGCGATGTTGTGTTGGTTTGAGGTGCACTCAGAGTGATTCAGTTGCACGTAGACACGTATCTGTGCTTTTTCAAATTCTTTTCCCATTTAGGTTGTCACAGACGCTGAGCAGTGTTCCCTAATGACCGAGAGCTCTGAGTTCTGAGGCCTGGGGTCCTCTGACGGGCAGCACCCACCCCGCCCGCCCCACCCCAGGCCCCGTGCAGAGGCACAGGAGTGGCTGGCAGGGCTCAGCTGAGGACCCTGCAGGGCGTCTGCCAGGTAGCAGGGACTGGAAGTCCGGACCTTGGACCCTTTCTCCACATTTGGTCATTATTTTCAGTTGAGGAGAGGGGATTCCCTAGTGGCACAGAGGTTAAGAATCTGCCTGCCAATGCAGAGGACACGGGTTCAAGCCCTGGTCTGGGAAGATCCCACATGCCGCAGAGCAACTAAGCCCGTGCGCCACAACTGCTGAGCCCACGTGCCACAATTACTGAGCCTGTGCTCTAGAGCCCGCGAGCCACTACTGAGCCCGTGAACCACAACTACTGAAGCCCGTGCGCCTAGAGCCTGTGCTCCACACCAAGAGAAGCCACCGCAATGAGAAGCCCGCGCACCACAATGAAGAGTAGCCCCTGCTCGCCACAACTAGAGAAAGCCCGCATGCAGCAACAAAGACCCAACGCAGCCAAACGTAATAAATAAATATATATTTTTAAAACTGGAGGAGAACATTACTAAGATGCTCTGGCTGGGGGGATGTTCTGCATCCTGCGACCCAAATCTTTAGCGTGTACTTGTCCGCCTCTCGTATGAGGGGTGGCTCTGGGGGGCTTCCGCCAGCACCCTGCTTCCCTGCTCACCACAGAAGGGATGCTGTGTCTCCTGCTCTGGGGTCTTCTGAGCCCCTGCCTCTCTCCATCTGCTCAAGGACCATCCGTAGCACCCTCTGCTCTGAGAACACCCTCGAGAGCTCTGTGCACCCAGCAAACCCTCACTGTCACCCTTCATCCGTCCAATTACCACATATGCCGTCTACTTCGTTTATCTGTCTTTCTACCTATGTATCTACCTATCCATCTATTACCTACCAGTCACCTACATGTATCTCTCTCATCTAGTAATCATCTGTCTTCAACATCACCTATTCGTCCATCTACCATCCACCTATTCATTTATCATCTATCACCTGTGCACGTATACATGATCTATATACCGATCGTTTATCTTTTTATCATCTCTCTGTTCATCTATCATTTATCCATCCACCCATCTATTATCTATTCACCCATCCCTCCATCTATCATGTATTTTCTGTCATCTATCTCTATCATCTATCTCTCATTGATCTATGCATCCATCATATCTATTCTATTATCTATCTTTCTATCATCTACCTGTTCATCCATCTACTTATCTATTTACATACCTAAGTATCCACCTATCAAACTATCTATCTACCTATGCATCTATGACCTATCAATCATCTACATGTATCTCTCTCACCTAGTAATCATCTATATCCATCATCACGTATCCATCTATGTACCTATTTATTTACTTGTCACCTAGCATTTGTGTATGTATCTATGTATCTATATCTATTATCTATCTTTTTATCATCTGTCTGTTCATCTACTATTTATCCACCCACCCATCCATCATCTATTTATCATCTGTCCATCTACTTATCCTATTATCTACCCATCCATCCCTTTATTTATCCATCCACCTGTCATCTATTTATGTATCACCTATCAACCTAGCTATCTTTCTATCCTCTACCTCTTCATCCATCTATCTGCTTATCTATCTACATACCTATGTACCCACCTATCAACCAAACAATCATCTATCCGTCATTTATCCACCCACCCATCTATTACCTACTTGTCCATTCACCCATCCACGTATCATCTGTGCATCTATCATCTAGCTATCCATCCACGTACCTATCTATCATCTCTATTATCAATCGATATCTATCCATCCATCCACCTCATCTGTCTGCCTATCTAAACAAGTAAGTAAGAATAAACTGCTATCTATGCCGTGCACACATGCAAACCCTATGGGCTGTTTCTCTCGAGAACCCTGGCTGACACGGGCCCTCTGAGCCCATAAAGAAGCCTGTCTCCTAACACACCACACACGCACACGCACACGCGCACACCGCACACGCACACGCACGCACGCGCACACACATGCGCACGCGCACACCACACACGAACACGCGCGCACACCACACACGCACGCACACACATGCGCACACGCACGCGCACACCACACACGCACACGCGCGCACACACACGCACATGCGCGCGCGCGCACATGCACACGCACGCACACACACGCGCGCGCGCGTTTCCTCCTTCCATCCATCCTCCGCTCCTGACCCTCTGGGGCATTCTTGGGGCACAGGGATGACGCATGGTCTGTCCTCCCTGCCTCGGCTCAGAAGCCACTGCCACCTGGTGACTTGGTCTCGCAGGCACAGTTGCTGGAAAGACACCCAGGAAGCCCCTCACCTCTGCGCGTCTTCTCCAGTAAACCCAGGGCCGCGCACACATCCAGCAGCTGCTCAGTCCTGCCCGCGCAGGTGCTGAGTTTGCGGGCGACATCCACGGCCTGCAGGGGGCCTTGGTCTTTTAACACATCGAACAGTTTGAGCTTGCAAGCCGTGAACAGAACCTGTCCGTGAAGAACAGTTACAGTTAGACGTACAACGTGACTTATCAATTGCTCTTTATTCCCAGGGACTCCAAAGAGGGACGGCAGGATGGTCAAAAACATCGAGCTCATCAAGGGAAACTTCTGCAGAGGCGAGTGGGTTTAGGCTCCAGGTTGTACAAGGTTTGCTCCAGGTAAGACCAAGTCGATGAACACCAAGCAGAGAAACTGTCCCAGCAGAGAAAGACCAAAGCACTGCTGTCAGGGGCTGTGTGGTGTCCCCCCAAGGTTCCTACGTCGACGCCCCAAGTCCCAGGACCTCAGGATGAGACCACGTGGAGACGGGGCCTCTGCGCAGGACACGGACACTCCACGCTGCTCAGGACACACCCTCACGTGACACCGTAAACCTCCCTGGAGCTCTCACCTCGTCGTAACGCGAACACCTCCAGGGACGAGTAAAGGGGCACTTCGGGAAAGGGCCCTACCTGAGCTGTGTCCAGAACTACCATGACTGACCTTGGGCGGGGGTGGGTGACACTTGCTCCAAGACCCCCAGCAGACCCTGGCTTGGTCGGCATGGTCCGCCATTGGGAGACCTTTGTAAGGAGACCCGTGTCACACGAGGGTGGATGGACAGATGGGGAGGTATGTAGATAGGTGACAGATACAGACAGGCGACAGATAGGTAGATGGGGTGGATGGAGGGATAGACAGGTAGGCAGGTGATAATAATAGACATGTAGATGATATATACAGATAGACAGAGATGATAAATAAATGGGTGGATACATAGATAGGAATAATAATAGACACAGAAGATAGATACAGATAGACGTGACAGATAAGCAGGTGGATAGACAGATGACAGATAAATAGATAAACAGATAGAGACAGACAAATGACAGGAAAATGGACGGATGAACAATGGAGAGAAGACAGATGATAACAGATATAGAGAGACAATAGATATAAATTATACACAGGTAAGTAGAGGGATGGATAGACAGGTGATAGTTATACAGATAGATAACCATAGGTATGCATACATTGATGATGTAGATAGATGAATATAGATTAGAAACAGATAGGCAAATGATAGCTAGATTACTGGTGGATGCAGAGAAGACAGGTAATGATATATATATATAATGATGCGCATAGATAGATGATAGATATAAACACAGATACATAGCTGGAGAGATGATTGATAGATTGGTGGAGAGATAAATGATAGGTAGGGAGACAGATGTATGAATGGATGGACAGAAGGTAGACAGGTGATAGTAACAACAGACACAGGTAAACAATAGACGGATATAGATTACACCTAGATCAGAGGATGGAGGGACAGATGACGGTACACAGAGAGACGATAATGACAGTGCATATAGCCTGATGATACAGACGACAGAGAAATGAAATGGACAGACGGATGGATGGACAGATGCCAGAGCGACAGACCGTGGAAGCGCAGCACAGCGCCACCGAGCGCCAGCCCGACGGGCTGCAGCAGCGTTGTCTGCACCAGCATCTCCAGGTGGATCAGAGACTCTGACCTAGAACGCAGCATAACCACCTGCTGTCCTAGGCACACAGGTCCCCTCTCCTGAGGAGGAGGTGACAGGAAGGTGGCCGGGGTGGAGGGGGGGAAGGTCAGGCCCCCAGTCCTTCCCCAGCCAGTGTCCTGTCTCTCCACGAGCCACTGAGGCTGCCCCTGAGGGGCCCTAGCGCGAGCAAGGCCGCCCCCTGCTCCAACCCCCAGGAGCCCAGAGCTGCAGGAGAGGGTCTGGCGGGGAAGGGGGTGGGCCGGGCCACGTGTCACAGCTGGGCGGTGCACAAGTGCGTCCGCAAGAGCCAGAGAGGTGGTGGAGGCCAGCTGGGTGGGCCGCTGCCCAACCCACTTCCCATCAGGCCCCGGGCCTGGGGCTTCCCTGAAGCACCTGCACACAGCTGCCTTGCACGTGGGCACAGGGCAACCTGTGGTCAAAGGTACCTGGTGGTTCCAGGAAGCATCGAGCTGGCCCAGCACTGCCCCCTCCCCTGCCCAGGACACCCTCTGGCTGGGACGGCTGCCCAGGATCCCGAGGCCACAGGACGATGAGGACACACACACTGACCTGGCCTGCCCTGCAGGCAGCTGGTGTCCTGGGGGCCACCATCCACCTGCTGCCCGGCCAGCAGGGCTGCAGGGTCCCAGAGGCGGCCACACGGCCGGCATTCCAGCCCCACCTCCCTGGACTGGGGACATAATGTGGCCCCTCGCTGGGGTCACGTGAGGCCTGCTTACCTTCAAACACCCGCACAGACCCCGCCCTGCCCCCTCCAGGCACAGACCACAGTTATGGGCTCAACGGTGGCCCCAAAGGATATGTGCATGCCCTGACCCCCAAAATAAGGGAATGAGGCCTTATGTGGAAACAGGGTCTCTGCAGATGTGAGGAAGGGAAGGGTCTGAGCTGAGGTCCTCCTGGAGGAGGGTGGCCCTACATCCAATGGCAGACACAGAAGGGGAGAGACACAGACACAGAGGAGAAGCCCCAGGAAGACAGAGGCAGAGACGGGAGGGACGCGGCCACAAGCCCAGGGACGCCTGGAGCCCCCAGAAGCTGGAAGAGGCGGGAAGGACCCTCCCCTGGAGCCTCTGGAGGGAGCGCAGCCCTGGGACACCTTGAGCTGTGGTCCCCGGGATGGGGGAGGATGGATGCCTGCGGTTTTGGGCTCCCCTGCGTTGGGGTCATGTGGTCATGAACCACACAAGTACCTTGGATGCTTTGAAGCCGTCCATCAGCTCCAGGAGGCCTGTGGGGAACGGGGGCCGGCTGTCCGCCCCGTCAAGGGCTGCATCCAGCGCGCGCGGAGCCTGTGACCGGTCTCCATCCGCCTGCTCGCCACCACGGCCGCCCTTGGCGCTCTGACCTGGGTCTGAGCCACCTGCCTCCGAGTCACTCAGGTTCTCGAAGGTGTCGACGGTGGGGATGGAGTCGTGCCTGACCCGCCGCAGGTCCTCGGGGCGGGGCGGGTAGTACAGCCGTGCCAGCTCCTTGCAGAAGTGGTTCAGGGGGAAGCCCACGACATTGAGGAAGTCCCCGTGCACGTACTCCACCAGCATCCCGCCCAGCGCCTGGATCCCGTAGCCGCCAGCCTTGTCCCTGGGGCGGGGAACCACAGCGGGGAGGGAAGGAGGGTAGAGAAGATGGCAGCGACGTTGACCTTCCTGGGATCAGCAGACCTGCAGCCAGGACCCCTGCAGGGGAACCCACCAACCTTGGACCCGAGTGGCTGTGCACTGGGGCGTCCGGGCCCAGATCCCAAGTGACCCCTTGGTCCCGTCCCTGGGACGTGACGAGGGGCACCTGGCGGCCACTCAGGAAGCTGCCCCCCACCCCAGGCCTGGCGCATGGCCACCAGCAGGCTCTCTGAGGGGAGGGGGATTGCTGTCAAGGACCCAGGCCCCCGGCCGTACTCTCCTGCCACCTGCAACCCCGTCCCTCGGATGTCCATTCATGTGGGTCCTCGGCCCAGGTCTTCCCCGGGCGCCACTGCTGAGACCTCCTTACGGGGGAAGAGGGGCCCGTGAAGCCCCTCCCTCCACCCTGACTCCCCCGCCTCTCCCGCTGTGCCAGACACGGGTCCATAAAGCGACAGGGGCAGTGATCTGGGCCCCCCCAGCAGTGAACCCACCCCCATGGTCCTCACGCCTGCGCTCACCCCCCAACCCTCGCCCGGGCCCTTTCCTGGGGGAAAGGGGACGGGGGAGCTGGCATGCCCTCTGGTTCGGCCTCTTGGTCCCGCTGCAGCTGCAGCGGTGAACGGCCTGACCCTGCCTCTCGTTTTGGTGTGTTGTCCTGATCAGACACCCCGATACCCAGCAGCTCCGCTCTTGACAGCCGTCACCACCCAGAGCCCGGCGCCCTGCGGAATCCTAACCCACAACGCGACGGTGTCAGGAGGTGGGACCTCAGGGAGGGGATGAGGTCATGAGAGTGCAGCCCCCGTGGATGGGATTAGTGTCCTTCTAAAAGAGACCCCAGGGAGCTCCCTGGCCCCTTCCTCCAGGCGAGGACACAGCGAGGAGTCACCATCTATGAACCAGGAAGCAGCCTCACCAGATGCTAAGTCTGGCCCCGCCAGGATCTCAGACCTGCAGCCTCCAGGACGGTGAGAAATAAGTCTCTTGTTTACAAGCTCCCTGCCTGTAGCGCTTTCTTAGGGCCCCAAGCAGACTAGGATGGCCCACATCTGAGGCTCCTGAGGACTCATCACAGAAGATGGTGCGAACAGGGCTGGGCGCACAGCACTCCCGTACTACCCCGCAATGGGGGCTCCCACGCCCGCCAGAAGGACAGGCCGGTCGGGGAGCTCCTTTGCTGGGGCTGCTTCCACAAGATCAATACCCCAGGGAGACTCTTCTCCCCTGCCTTTACCTTGAGCAGGGCTGAGACCGGCTTTAACCAGCAGAACACACGCTCGGACCCTCGGTCTCAGGAGCCCAGGGCTTCTGCACTCACCTCCCCACGGCTGTCGGTGCCCGGCCCCTCGCGAGCACCCTGAGTGAGCCGCTTCCTGAAGATACATGGGGAGGCTGGTCCCCGGGGCACCGTCAGACCCGTGGTCACCAGCCACCAGCTGGCGCCAAGCCCAGCCCCGGCGGGGGTGGGGAGTGAAGCCAGCGAGGCTGCAGGACGAGCTGAGCCTCCGTGACCTTGAGAGACTGCTGCCCGGACCCGGCGCGCTTTGGGGCGGTCAGTGACATTGGGGTCATGGTGACCTCTGCCCTCCAGGGACCGGCCCCGGCTGCCCCACCATCATGGGAGCGGGCGTGGCGCCCTGGGAGGGCCGGCTGCGCTGTAGGAGCATCCACGGGACGGGGACCCCTAGGAAGGCATCCTTCCAGCACCTTCCAGGCACCGGGGCACCGGGCTCGTCAGGAGCCCTGGCCCCCAACACAGGCTGAGCCACGCGCCCGGTGTATCCGCCGCCCACAGTGGGGACTCGGCACCGCAGCTCCCAACAGAGACTCACATGGGCTCTCCGCTGTTGATGTACTCCCACAGCAGCTCCTCTGACAGCTCTGAGAACTTCACCGTGGTCTCCTCGTAGAACTCCGAGACCTCCGTGTCCAGCCGGCCGTCTGCAAGGAAGGACCCCGCAGTGAGGGTATGTGGCCGGCGCCAGGCCCCCGCGTCCCCAGGTTCTAGCCGCTGCCTTTGGGGGGAGTTGGCCTGAGCTTTGCGTGGGATTCACACACGGTCGTTAACGGTTCCTTTTAGGCAAGGGAAAAGAGAAAGAATAAAACAGAAAAGAGGGCAACAGAATTGGCAAAAGCAGGAGAAAAAGCTGCAGCCTGCAGAGCTGGATGACACGGGCCTCTGGTTTCTGTGCTAAGTCGTGGAGTAGAGTTACCACAGGGTGATGCTGCAGTCTACACGAGGCTTTCGGCTGTGGGGCTGGAAATGCCCCAGGCACACAGTACAGTGGCTGTGCATGGCGGCCAGTTGTGAGGGCTCTCCACACCAGCCGTCCTGGCGTGAACGGTGCCCCCCAAACGTCACACCCTCTGAAAACCTCAGAACCGGACCTTATTAGGAAACAGGGTCTCTGCAGATGTGATGGAACAAAGGGTCTGAGATGAGGTCCTCCTGGAGGAGGGTGGCCCTACATCCAGTGACAGGGTCCTTCTAAGAGACAGAAGAGGAGAGACACAGACACAGAGAAGAAGACCCGTGAAGACGGAGGCAGAGATGGGAGGGATGCAGCCACAAGCCCAGGGACGCCTGGAGCCCCCAGAAGCTGGAAGAGGCAAGAAGGACCCTCCCCTGGAGCCTCTGGAGGGAGCGCGGCCCTGGGCCACCTTGACCTCAGACGTCTGGTGTCCAGGATGGGGGAGGATGGATGCCTGTGGTCTCAAGCCCCAGGTAAAGGAACCACACTGTCCAGCAAGTGCTTTCTCCCCAAAGAGCACAGGTTAAAGTCCAGGACAGACCAAGAAGGTAAGAGTAACCCAATCACTAATTAGCAGACAGGTGCGCGGTCACCCACCTGTGGGATGTGCTCGGGGAGCCCAAGAGCTCAAAGTCAGCCTCAGGGTCCTTCCTGGACCTAAAATATCTTTTAAGCAGCTTTAAAAATTGTGCATTAAAAAAAAAAAAAAAAAGCCCGTTGGGACTTCCCTGGCGGTCCAGTGGTTAGGACTCTGCGCCTCCACTGCAGTGGGTACGGATTTGATCCCCGGTCGGAGAACTAAGACCCCACAAGCCACAGGGCTCAGCCAAAACACACACAGAGAAAACCCTCGCCAACAGGGGCCGAACTCCTCCACCTTCCAGACCAAAATCCTCAAAGAAAGCATCTGGGACGGTCGCATGGGACGGGCTTTTATGACGGCCCCCGCCCCCCAGCACGGTCTCCATTGGGCGCTCAGGGTGCACCCCAGGATTTCCCCGTGGGACCCTGACGTTCCCAGGCAGGACGGGAAGGCAGGGTCACGGGGAGCAAAGACAGAGCCGTCCCCGAGGACCCCAGGCTCCCTTCACGACACCCGACTCCGGGGGTGGGGGGGGGACGGGGACGGAGGGGGCCGTGGTACCTTTGCTGCAGCAGTGGACGATGGCCACGCCCGTGAACACACTGTGCTCCTTCCCGTTCAGCCTGCAAGACACGACGGGGCCCAGCAGGCGACCGTGTGGGGTGTCCAAGACAGCGCCATCCCTGCCACCACCGGGCGCGAGCCCCTGGTCCACCCGCCGGCCCTGGCCACGCGGCCTCCGGGGAAACCTTCCTGCAGCAAGCGCGCAGGTCCAGGCGAGAGGGCGCTCGGTGCCCTCGGAGTGGGGGCTGGGGGATGGCCGGGCTGTCTCACGGGATGCGAGGACGGAGCACCTGGGCCACGCCGGGAGGACCCGGGTCCTGGCAGCTCTCAGCGGCTCTTTCTCGGGTCCCTTCGCTCTCTTGGGCGCAGACACGCGGGGGTGCTGAGCCAGGAAGACACCCTGAAGGTGGGCGGTGGTGTGGCCCCCCACTCCCGCCCGGGGGCAGGGTTCCAGGACGCTGAGAGGGACAGGGCCTGCTTCCCATGGCGGGAGCTCGGGGGCACTGGGCTCCTGGGGCAACAAGGCAGGGGGAGCCAGGATGAGGAAAGTGAAGAGGGGCAGACACGGGGCTTCCGGACGAGCCCGTTAGGGCGAAGCCAGCACAGTGGATGTTCGAGGCCCCGGCCCATCCTTGGACCTGGACCTGGAGGGGCTGCCGGTGGGAGACGGGGGAGGTGATGCACGGACACCCACAGCCCACCCCGAGGAAGCCCGGCCCCTCCACCGGGCCCAGGCTCTGTCGGATGCAGGGCTACTTCCCTGTAGGACGGCCAAGGCCCACCCACCTTGACAGCATGCGGTAGGCGTCCTGCTTGTCCACAGGCTTCTCCAGGATCATCGCTCCCACCGCCTGCAAGAGGAACGGGAGGGAAGGCGTCATTTTCCGCTCCCTGGGCTGGTCTGTGCAAGCGGCACTGTCCACTGTTTAGATTCACATATATATTTTTTTAAAGCAGGAGAGATGTGTATAACATGAATTTCACCATTTTGAACTAAAGTGTGTGGTACATTTCCAGGGCTGGGCGAGGACCGCTGTTGAGTTCCAGAACTTTTTCATCATCTGGAACACTCGATCCCCGTGAGCTGTCACTCCCCACCTCCCTCCCCGGCCCCTGACACCCCAACCCGCTCTCTGTCTCTGGGGATTGGCCTGTTCTGGACGTTTCCTGTCAATGGAATCACACACTGTGTGTCCTTCTGTGTCTGCTTCTCTCACTCAGCATCCTGTGTTCAAGGTCCATCCATGCTGTAGCCTGTGTCAGGGCTTCGCTCCTTTTCACAGCTGAGTCATATTCTACTGTGTGGATGGACCCCATCCGTCCATCAAAGCGGGGGATGTCTGGGCTGTTCACACCTTTTGGCTGTTGCGAATAATGCTATGAACATTCACGTACAAATATTTGTCTGAACACCTGTTTTCAATTCTTTGGGGCATGTACCTAAGCATAGATGTCTTAGCTGGGGCTGCCCGAGAGCAGTACAGACGGGGCAGCTTAAACAGCAGACATTATTTCTCCCAGTCCTGGAGGCTGGAGTCTGAGATCCAGGTGTCAGCAGGGCTGGTTCCTCCTGAGGCCTCTCTCCTGGGCGTGTAGACGGCAGTCTCCTCCCTGTGTCCTCAAAGGGTCGTCCCTCTGTGTGTGTCTGTGTCCTGATCTCCCCTTCTTATAAGGACCCCAGTCCTGTGGGATCAGAACCCACCCTAGTGACCTCATTTTACCTTCATCCCCTCTTTAAAGACCCCATCTCCAAATACAGTCATGTTCTGAGGTCCTGGGCACTAGGACTTCAATATAGGAATCGGGTTGGGGGACACAATTCAGCCCATAACACAACTGCTGGGTCATATTGTAATTCTTCGACTAACATTTTGAAGAACCTGCACCGTTCACTCTTTTACTTCCATGCAGCCTTAAGCATGAACCAGAAACGATGTCTGATTCTCACCTGCACACAGGTAGGTCCCATCCACCTGGGCTGCACAGAAACAAATGCCACACTGAGGGCCAGGCAGACCCTGGGATCACCCCGTCTGGCATTTTCCAACCCTGGACTCTTTACAGTTGATTTACAATATCGTGTAAGTTTCAGGTATACAGCGAAGTGGTTCAGTTATACGTATACATATATATATATGTACATATATGTATTTCAGATCCGTTTCCATTACAGGTTATTACAAGATATTGAATATAGTTCCCTGTTCTACACAGTAACTCCAGACTCTTTCAAACAGGTGGTCCCTCGCCTGGAGACCATGACGGTACCCTAGCAATGAGGCCCAGCATCCCTGGGAGATGCCTGCCATCAGGCCAGCGAAGGTCCCAGACGGAGGGCTGTCACCAGCATGGCAGAGCTACCGTACCGATCACTGTGACCTCCCACCAAAAAGTCCAACCCTCAGTGGCCAAAACCCCTATCTTAGCGAGAACCGTTGCCCTCCAAAACATATGCCGGGGTCCTGATGCCCGGCCCTGGGAACAGGACATTATTTGGTAACAGGGTCTTTACAGATGTAAGAAAATTTAAGATGAGGTCGTACTGCAGTAGGTGGGCCCTAATCCATGATGACTGGTGTCCTTATAAGAAGAAGGAAACTGGGACACAGAGGAGAAGGCACGTGAAGACGGAGGCAGAGATGGGAGGGATGCGGCCACAAGCCCAGGAATGCCCGGGATTTCAGGCAAACCACCAGAAGCCGGGGGGGGGGGGGGGGGGTGGCGGTGAGGAGAGAGAGAGGCCTGGGACGGATCCTCCCTTAGGTCTTCCAGAAAGAACCAGCCTTGCCGAGGCCTTGATTTCGGTTACCAAGGACATGCCCGCCACACGGAGAGCCAGAAAGCAGACTCACCACGATGGTGTCTGCTCCGATGACAACGTCAGGGGCCCGCAGGTCCTTCTGCAAGAAATCCAGACTCAGCTTTAGAAAGGACGACTCTGCACGTCTTACACGTTGTCATGCCATGACGCACATGACACAGCGTCGCTGCTTACTTGCGAATCCAGTCTCACTTTGGAAAACAAGGTTTCAGTGTCCTCGACACGCCAAGCAAGGAAGACGTGACCCCAAGACACTCACTGGAAACCTGCACACAACCTTCTGCTCTGGCTGCACTTAAATTCTAACCTTTCCACAGCCGGAAATCAGTCCATCAATGTTCATTTATTTATACCAATACTTCTTACAGCATTAACTTGAATATATGGGTCCTATATGTTAACTGCGATTAGGTATTATTATAACACATAGTAACAGGTAAGCTACTTTAATTCTGTATCGTAAATGACACTATTATATTAATTAGTATATTATATAGTAACACACAGCAATAGAGAAGCTACATTAATTCCATATCATAAATGATACCATTACATTAATTACAAGAGTATATTATATAATAAGACCTAATAATAGATAAGGTACATTAATTCTATAGTTAGTTCTATATCGTAAGTCATACTGTTATGTTAATTGCAATGATATATTCTATAGTAACACTCATAGTAATGCAGAGGCTGTATTGTTTCTATATCATAAATGACGTTGTTATATTAAATACCATAGTATATTATATGGTAACAGTAATAGATAAGCTACATTGTTTCTATATCGTAAATGATGCTGACGTACTAAATACCATAGTATATTATATAGGAACAGCAGTAGATAAGCTAGGTTATTTCTGTACCATAAATGATGCTGTTATATTAAATATCACAATATATTATATAGTAACACTTAGTAACAGATAAACTACATTAATTCTATATCATAAACGATGCTATTATATTAGTTACAATAGCATATGACATGGTAACACCTAGTAATAGATCAGGTAGATCAATTCTTTATCGTAAATGATACTATGATGGGAATTGCAATAGTATGTTACATCCTAGCAAAGTAGGAGGTAAGCTATGTTCTCTAAGTGATACTATCACATAAATTAACAGCAGTGCACAACACGAGGACCCTCAGCTGCAGAGACGCTAGACTAACTGCACTTATTGATAACACGTATGTTTAAAACCTGAAGATGCCCTCCTAGCAGGAGACCCAGGAAGAAGCAGAAGCAGGAGCCCTCGCCTGGTGCATCCTGCCGGCCACCTCCAGGGCCTTCTGCTTGGCTGTTTCCACCGCGTATGCGTACGGAGTAGCGAATGAGGCCTTGTGCAGCTTCTCCTTGAACCTGGAAGGGACCACCTCGAACCTGAGGCCCTGAAACAGGACAGAAGGGGTCAGGAGGGTTTATGGGAGGAACCTGAGGATGCTGACGGATGTGCAGGCTCTGCAGGAACTGGCCTTTCCCCGCGCGGCCCACCTTCCCTGACTATCTGGTCTAGACACTGGGTGCTGACCCAGCGCCAGCCCCCGGCCGCAGGGGCTGCGGGACTTGCAGAGGACCCGGGGGCGCTGGCGGGAAGACCTCTGCACACGCAGAGGCCAGCAGGGCTGTATTGATTGCCATGCTGGGGCCTGCAGCCCCGAGGGGTCAAAGGGCTCCCAGAGAGTCCCAAAGGCTTTGCCTCCACAGGGGTCAAACTACTGAAATGACACCGCCTGCAGGAAATGCCACAAAAATGCCACTAACGAGGGCTGCGCGAGGGTGAATACGGCTGCTTTAACTTGGTCCCCAACACGTGTGACCAGGCAGCCCCTGTGGAAGGCAGGTCATGGACACAGCGACATCCAGAGTGGGATGGGGGACAGGATTGTGGGCCTTGCCCACAGAGGATAAAACTCCCATCCCCACGGGGAACCCCGTGGAGCACCCAGCTGGCTCTTACCTTCCCCGCATCCCAGCACTCTCCCCTCCATCACGGACCTCCCACACCCCCAGGTCCCCCTGGACCACACTGTGAGCCCCCCTTGGGTCTGTACAACCCCAGCCGGCACCCCTCTCTCCGCACCTACCGCTCCTCTCCCCGCCCATGTCTGCCAGGGCCCCCTCCACACAGCACAGCACCCGCCGTCCTCCCCCTGGAGGTACAGGCAGCACCCCTTACTCGGCACCTACCCCTACCCCCGCCCCCCCCCCCCCCGCCAGGCAGGGCCTCCCCACCAAGACCAAGCCTCCGCTGGAGCCTCTGTCCGCTCCCTCCCTCCCTACCGGCTCCTGGACAGACACGGCTCAGGCCCACAGACCTGGCCTTGGCCTGAAGGTCCACAGACCCCGGCCGGCAGGGCACCAGGTCTCCAGGCCCTGGCTGAAAGACGCTGGCCCCCAGATCAGGTAGACTCCTCCTTCCCCCCGGCCCACAGGCCTGGACCACGGTCACTAGGGTCCTGCCTCCTGGTTCCCTCAAGGCCCCAGCCTTGCAGAGACCCCAGACCCCCAGTCGCTAGGCCCCAGCCCTGCAGACTCTGGACCTCAGACCCTGTCATGAGGCCCCATCATGAAGCCCCAGCCTGCACACACCCCCACACACTAGGCCCCCCCAGTCACTAGGCCCCGGCCCTGCAGACCAACCGACCCCCGTGCCCCCGCCCCCCACTAAGCCCAGGTCACTAGGACCCTCGGTCACTCGTCTCCAGCCACTAGACCCTGCCCCCCCCATCACTGGACACTCCCAGTTACTAGGCCCCGGCCCTGCAGACACCACCCCGCCCCCAGCTAAGTCCTGGTCACTAGCCCCCGGGCCACTAGGCCCGCCCCAGACCCCGGCCCTGCAGACCCCGGCCCAGGCCAGGCCCAGGCCGCTCACCGCGTTGCTGAGGATCTCCTGGCGGCGCGGGGAGGCGCTGGCCAACACCACGCGCTTGTGCTGCAGCTTCCCGATCACCGGGCACAGCACCATGGTGCCGCCGCGACCCGACCCAAGCTCGACTCCGCGCCTAGAACCGCACGCCCCAGGCCGCGCGCCCAGCGACAGGCGCCTACCACCGCGGCCCAAGCCCCGCCCCGGCTCCGCCCCAACCAAGCCCCGCCCCGGCCACTGGAGCTCCGCCCAGGCCTCACCCCCCCCCCCACCCCGCCACGAAGCCCCCCCCGGGGCGGGCCCTGGGGGAGCCCCCCCCCCCCACCCCCGGAGGAAGCGGCTCCGGACCGCTTCCGTGCCGGCCCTGAACGAAGCCCCGCCCCACCCACGAAGCCCCGCCCCCACGCTCGCCCCGTCCCCGCCCTGCAGCCGGCGACGCGAGCTGGGCGCGGGCTGGGGGCCTGGGGCGAGGGCGGTCTCCAGGTCCTCAGAACCCGGAGACCAAGGGGCACCTTGGGAGCACTAAGAGGGCGATGGGGGAAAAAAAGGAGTGTCCGTGTGAATTGGTGGAGGCGTCCCCGCGGGTGCTGTGGGGGACGGAGATGAGGGGTCCCCGGGGCGCGGTGGGGGGCGGAGATGGGGTCGACGGGGCGCAGTGGGCGTGCGGCACTTCTCAGCCTCAGCGCTAGTTTGGGGGCAGGTCATTCATTTTTGTGGGGCTGCCCTGGGCGATTGCAGGGTATTTAGCAGTATGTCTGGTTTCTGTCCACTAGATGGCAGTAGCTGCCCTCCAAGTTGGGGACAACCGACCGTCTGCGCATGTCCTAGCCACTGGGGGACCGAATCGCCCCTCGTTGTGTGCCAGGGCTATAGATAGATAGATGGTACATAGATAGAGTAGTTAGTTAGATAGATAGATAGATAGATAGATAGATAGATAGATAGATAGAGATAGATAGATAGATAGATGATAGATATAGATAGATGATGGATAGATAAGGTGAATAGATGATTGATAGATACAATGGATGGATGGGCAGTTAGATGGATGGATGGCCACAGATACATACATCGTAGATAGATAAATAGATGTTAGATAAATGCTAGATGGATAAATGCTAGAGATAGATTATTTATTAATATAGAGACAAATAGATATGACGGATGGATGGGTGGATGGATGGATACATAGATAGATACACAGATAATTAATAGATAGATGACAGATAGAGTCATTCTAGTCAGAATTCTCAGCCTCACACTACTGACATTGGGGGCTGGTGACTCTCTGATACGGGGCGTCCTATGCACTGTGGGCTGTGGAGCAGCATCCCTGGTGTCCCCCCACCAGGTGCCAGGAGCACCCCTCGCCACCACGGTGACAACCAAAATGACCCCTGACTAATACATAGCGCATATATATAAACTAATACATATCTATGTGTACGTAGATGTACATGTGCCTGTATATATATATGATATATCATGGTATGTGGTATATATCAACATGACATCCTAATGTATGTGTTTTTTTTAATTTTATTTATTTATTTGGCTGTGTTGGGTCTTCGTTTCCGTGCGAGGGCTTTCTCTAGTTGCGGCGAGCGGGCGCCACTCTTCATCACGGTGCGCGGGCCTCTCACTGCTGTGGCCTCTCCCGTTGCGGAGCACAGGCTCCAGACGCACAGGCTCAGTAGTTCTGGCTCACAGGCCTAGTGGCTCTGCGGCATGTGGGATCCTCCCAGACCAGGGCTCAAACCCGCCTCCCCTGCATTGGCAGGCAGATTCTCAACCACTGCGCCACCATGGAAGCCCCCTAATGTATGTTTTGATAGCATCGTTATGTCCTATTTTTTCCCCCTTAACCTTCTGTGCTGGGTGATCCAGCACAAGGCATCAGATGGTCGTGCAAACCAGGTTCCTGTGCACCAAGCCCCCGAGGTCTCCACCCTAACCCCCTCTTGGTTAACCCATCAGAGGCTGACCACCCACCAGGAAGCCCCTCCACAGTGAGTTCTGATTCACCGTGTGGACTCACCTTGCCCCAAACTTTACCCATTTGGGGGGAGTCATTTCCTGATTGGTTGAACTTTACGTTTCCCTCCAATGTCTGGAGTTAGAAATCATTCTTCTTTTTCTTCTTCTTCTTTCTAATTCTAGGCATTTCAAGGAAATGTACAAGTTCAACCAGTCAGGAAGCATCTTTATCACCGAATCATGTTTCCCCGGACAGTGACAATGAATGTTTAGCTCGAAAGGTCAGGGTGGAGGCATAAATACTTGTTTTCAAATTGCACAGCAGAAAAGGTGTCAAACTGCCCGCCCTCCAGCCGAGCTTGAGGCCCCCTTACTGGTTCTCCTCTGCCGATGCTGGTGTCACTGAGTTTTATCTGGAAGAAGACATCAGAGAAGGTATTGCAAAGGCAAACTGGAAAACCACTTAATGAAGGATCACTGTCTGATGGGGTCAATTCCCCCCGCATCTCCAGAACCAGCCCCGAAGGCTCCCATTCCGTTCACTGCACAAGCCGAACATCTTGCTTACAAAAATAGACGGTTTATTCTGAGGAAGTTCGAGGTGTACAGGGCGCTTGTCAGTGTAGTACTGGGGCTCCTCAGCCACCTCCCCCATCCTTCCCCGTCACGTTAACCCCCGACATCCCCGCCATAACGAAGAACCGACATCGGTCGTTTTCCGAGGAGGGATCGGGGTTGGAATCTCGCCCGTGTTCCCCGTGCTCTTCTGGGATTCAGTCTGCGATCCTCTCATTTTCCTTAGATGTTCCAGCTTCCATCTTTCTCAGGATTGTGGACAAGGAGGGGAGCAGACTGACGGATGTCTTGATGGTTTTGACTTACGCTGTAGGAAGGTCTTGGTGACAGACAAAATCAACAAGGGGACAAGGAAGGCAAGAAAGGAACGGCGGTTGGCACGGGACACACTGTAAACTAGGGATGTAGCCAGGGATGTCCGGCAGGGGTTACCAGCCAAAGCTGGGTCCCCACGGGTGTGGGATGGGACTCTGAGGCAGGCGCTGGGTTCGACTCCCTGCTGGCTAACTCACCAGCTCCGGTCCACCGTTGGGGCCTTTATCGGTGAGTCCCACAGCAGTAATCTCATCCCACTTAGGAACCCGCCCTGCACGCTTATTTACATCCACTCCTACCCTAGAGGTATGTTAACAGCACTAAGGAATCTCATTGGCATTACAGAACCGTGTAGGTTTCCAAAGACAGATCAGACGCTGGAAGAAAAAATAAATCAACGTCTCCGTGCGAGAGTTTCCAACAAACCACCTGTTTTGAGCATGGATGTTTTAAAACAGGCTCGAGTAAAGAGAATGACATAATGAAACCCCGCGTTCCCTTCGCCCAGGCTCAAGCATTATGAGCTATCAGCATTCTGGCAGCTTTCGTTCATCCAGTCCCCAAATACGCGCCACAAATGCACACACGCGCGTGCACACACAGAGACGTGGGCGCATGCACGTGTACACGTGTGTGAAGTGTGCATATATGGGTGTGCACGCGTGTGTACATGTGCATGCTTGTATCTGCTGTCATATTCTAGAGCAAGCATCAACCATCGTAGCACTCCGCCCAGGACCATTTTCATTTACACCTTCAGCATTTTAGGATCTCCTTCAACAAAGCCAAGGCCCCATCATCCCACCCAACCAATCCTGGGTTCCACCCGTGCCCCGTTCGTGTTCTGCTGGCCCGGTTCACGCCAGGAGCCCAGGACACCGTGATTCTGCCATCCTTGAAATTCCAGGGAGCCTGGTGGGAGGGTCATGGGACGGCTCGGCCGTGAGATGGGAGGGTCTTGGTCAGGCAGGGGTCTCAGGAGTCCGAGGGAGAAACCTGTCCGCCCAGCACACGGGGAGAAGTCAGGGATATGGGTCTCTGCGTTTTTCCTCCCACACCCTCCCAAGGGCTGAATCACAGAATCACATCTTGTTTTTTTCTCATGTCTATGTACATGCGAATGTGTTATCCTTTTACGGCAGGCTTAAGAGGGCAACAGATTGAAGGAGTGTGTGGGGAGAACACACACACACACACACACACACACACACACACACACACAACATTGTTAAAAGGCCGAAAGCGGGGCAAATCCCGCCCTGGGATTTCAGGTGATCTGACGGACCTCTCGGACAGGTTGACGGTCACCTGAAGTTCTGGATGGAAATTCCCAGCAATTCGAAAGACCCTGTCGGACCACCTGAATTTCGGTGGAACTGGGGGCCCCTAGAAGGCAGAAGTCATGGGGGCGTCGACAGCCCTGGATGGCGGAGTGGCCGCCAACCAAATAAGGGCTCGCACAGCCCTCTGGGACCTAAAGGCTGGAGGGACGTGACAGCCACTGGGGGAGGGTATTACTACCTAGACTGGCTTCCTCTGAATTCAAACTGTGACGCCTAATCTCAAAGCAGCAGAAAAACGTCCTGTGAGGGTGGTTTGAGGTTTTTCACACTTTTGTAGCATCAGACGCTGGAGGCCCACGCCCAGACGTGGGTGCCACTGTCTCTCCGGCTCAGGGTTTCCGCCCCCAGACTGTTGCTCCCTCGACCTGGCTTTCTAGGGTTCACCTTTGGGACAGTCGGGAAGAGCGGGGGGACAGCACGCCATGCACGGACCATCCAGGTCCCAGACACGTGCCCTTTTCTCGTCCCTTGCACCCATGGGCTCAAGTCCTTCCCCAGGGGCACGTCCGGCTGTGCCTCTGAGGCTCCCGAGGGTGGCTCTCGCTCCCTGTAAACACAGACACTGGCTCGGACACCGTCCTCTGTGGAGATGCCCCAGCTGCGTGGCCTGGGGCGGAGGACGGTGAAGGGGCCCTCCAGGCTGCACCTCCAAGCTGAGGAACTGGATTCCACAAAGCAGGTCCCACCCTGGGAGCCAGCACCAGGCATGGGCCCTCCTGCAGCCACCCAAGCAGGAGCCAGAGGCTCAGCCTCAGAATTTCAGAGTGTGTGTGTCTCCTGGGGCAGCCGTGACAAGTTCCCATAAACTGCAGGCTAAAACCCCGGACAGACTGCACCCTGCCCCAGCCCGGAGACCAGACGTCTGAGGGCAGCCATAACAAGTTCCCGTAAACTGCAGGCTAAAGCCCCGGACAGACCTGCATCTTCCCCCATCCTGGAGACCAGACGTCTGGGGTCAGGGCGTCCCAGGGCCGCGCCCCCTCCAGAGGCTCCAGGGGAGGGTCCTTCCTGCCTCTTCCAGCTTCTGGGGGCTCCGGGCTTCCCTGGGCTTGTGGCCGCGTCCCTCCCGTCTCTGCCTCTGTCTTCCCGGTTCTGCTCCTGTGTGTCTGGGTCTCTCCTCTTCTGCCCCTTAGAAGGACCCTGTCGTTGGATGTAGGGCCACCCTGATCCCATAGGTCACACTTTGCGGTTCCCAGCGGACATGGACTTTGGCGAGACACCGTTCACCCCAGCGTACGTATGTCTGCTTCTCTTCCAATGTGACCAGGTGCTTCCAGAACATCAGCTCACAACCCCCATCCGCATCTCTGACCCACGGAGGGGACGTCACCTGCCCCACAGCCAAGCCACCCTGGAGGTCCCTGAGCCCCCGCCTGCCGGCCCCTCCAAAGTCTCACCTTATAGGCTGCAGGGCTGTTTTCCTTTCCCAAGAGAGCCCTGAGCTGAGTCCTGTGCATCTCCTCGTGATGTGCAAAGCACCCAAAAGTTTGTTCTTTCAGGCAAATCCCAGCCTCCCGGGAACCTGCTGGTTTAGCATCCTGGGCAGTCCGGGAACTGGGCCCCTTAACTTCCCAAAGCAGCCCAGGTAGTGGGGCTGGCACAGGTGTGTCCCAGGTGCTGAGCAGACCTGCTACGGGCTCGTGTGGTCAGTGCTCTCCCCTGGTCCTCCAAGGATCCCACGGGTCAGGCCAGGAGCCCCTCCAGACCCCCAGGACGACTTGCCGTGGCCCGGGGTTCTCAGCTCGGAGGCGGAGCCAGAGAACAGCCCGGAGGGGGCCCCTGAGGCAAGCTGAACCCCGAGGCGGGTCAGGGAGGTGCAGCTGTAGCTGCGAACACTCAGAAACTTGTCATCCGCCCAGAGACCCTCGGTCCACACCTCCAGGACGGACGACCTTCCGGTCTGGGGGCTGTGGCTTGGGGATATTTAAGGAGAACCTGATCCCCGCCGGGGAGCCCCCGTGTTTGCTTGGCTCCGGGGGGCGGGGGGAACCAGGTGATGTCGGGGGAAACAGGTGATGTCGCAGGGACCCATGGGCCCCCAGAGCACGGGGCCCGAGGTGGCCTGTCCACGGGCACGTGGCCAAATCCCAGTGCCCGGAGGGACCGCGGGTGGATTGTCGCAGGGCGGGGGAAGGACCGCGCCGCCCTCTCCCGGCTGCCCCGCCGCCGCCCCCGAGGGGCGCCCGGCTCAGAAGACGCTCTCCTGCCGCTTGACGCTGGGCCGGCCGGCGGCGTCCAGCCCCTCCACGGAGCGCACGGACAGCGTGCGTCCGGAGCCGAGGCTCTCGAGGTGCCCCTCGGGGCTGCCAGTGGGCAGGGGCCTGTAGCCCAAGTAGTGCCGCATGTGGAGCTGGAACTCGCGGGACGCGAAGTAGTAGACGAAGGGGTCCAGGCAGTTGTTGAGGCAGCTGAGGCAGAGCGTGAGCTTGTACACGTGGTAGTAGCTGCGGCCGAAGAAGAGCCGACTGACCACGTGCACCAGCAGCACGAAGTTGTTGGGCGCGAAGCAGGTGACGAAGGCCAGAAGCACCACGGCCGCCAGGCACACGGCGCGGGACCTCCGGGCCTCCCCGTGGCGGTCGGCCGAGCGCAGCAGCGTGAGGATGGTGGCCGTGTAGCAGGCCACGGTGACCACGAAGGGAACGAGGAAGAGCACGACGAACAGGGTGAGGAGGAACACCGCCCACATGGCCACGCTGGGCAGCATGCTGGACTTGAGCACGTCGAAGCACGTGACGATGCCCAGCACCTCCACGGCGTAGGTGAGGTCCGTGCGGGCCAGCGGCGACAGGGCGGCCAGAAGGAGGAGCCACGTGCCGGCGCAGGCAGCCACGGCGTAGCGGCGGCAGCGCCAGCGGGCGGAGGCCAGCGGGTACACGACGCCCAGGAAGCGGTCCACGCTGATGCAGGTCATGGTGAGGATGGAGGAGTACATGTTCGCGTAGAAGGCCACGGTCACCACGTTGCACAGCAGCTCGCCGAACACCCAGTGGTTGCCGTTGCAGTGGTAGTAGATCTGGAAGGGCAGCACGCAGGCCAGCATCAGGTCCGTGACGCTCAGGTTGATCATGAAAATGACCGAGGGTGTCTTGGGTCCGATGTGGCGGCACAGCACCCACAGGGAGAACAAGTTGCCAGGGATACTTATCAGGGCCACCAGCGAGTACACCACCGGCAGGACCACCGCGATGGCCGGGTCCCGCAGCATCAGGAGGGTGGCGTTGTCCGGACGCGTCACGTTCATGTCCATCCTGGAGCCGGGGGTTGGGGGGCCGATCTGGAAGAGAAAAGGGGCGCCAGGGGTGAGAGGGGCGGACGATGGGGTCTGCCCGCACAGGGACGGAGAGATGGGAGGGTCCCCGGCGCCCGAGGGGCGGGCAGCTCCCGGTTCCTCCTCTGCTGGCCCTCCCTCCCTTCTGGCCCCTCTTCCCGCCCTCCACCTGTATCCCAGACCCAATAGATGCTAAATCCTCAAGGGCTGCATCACCCACAAAAGCTACGAGGAACCATATGAAAACACCCACCACCGGCTGCCAGGCTCCCGACCCAGCACGGGGGTCACAAACCTGCCCCTCCCTCCTGCACCGGGTGGTGGTGGGGGAAAGAGACCCCACACCGGGACGTGGAGACCCCGTGTCCTGTCCCTGCAGGCAGCAGGTGTGGGCTCAAGTCTGCTGGGGCCAGAGGACACAGGACTCTTCCTGTAACTGCCCACAGCCCAGCTGCACCTGGGTCACTGCACTCCTGCCCCTCCCCTGGCAACTTCCTTCCTTCCTGTGACTTGGAAGCATGGGGAGCGTGCTGTGAGGCACGGTGCGGAGGCTTCAATGCTGGGGCCATGAGGATGCAGGGCGGTGAGGCCGAGGTACAAGGTTACAAAGTTACCAAGGGAATGACTCTGTTTCCAACCTGCAAAGTAGCTTCCCTCGGATTCTCTGAGCCCCGATTTCTTCACTGGCACACAGTGAAGTCAGGGTCCCCCCACCCCAGGGCTGTGCTGGGTATCGCAGGCTGCCCTCCCCGACCACACGGGTGTGCTGTGCTGCTGGCGTCGTGGTCCCAGCAGGATAGTAACTGTCACCCTGCGCCTGGCCTCCTGCCTTTGGCCCATAACCGCTCATCACCCCAACACTGCAGCTCCACTCCCTTCCAAGTTCAGGACCCCAATCCCAGAGCACCCGTTGTGGCTGCTCCTTTGGGGCGGGGGTGGTGGTGGATGTTGGGGCCCCTGAGACATCATCCCCATGTCTTCCCTCCCTCCCTCCCTCCCCGGTGATGTCACAATAATCCTCTTATTGTGACATCACCGGTAGCACCAGCAGGACATGAAGATAGAAAAGGGGCTTGGAGGTGTGCTGGTGACACGTTCCCAAACTGCAAAGGGGAGTGGATCCCCTGCCCGGCTCCAGCCCTGATGGGGGGTCCTGGGGGTTCCCCCCTCAGACCACACAGAGCATCCTCTGCTCCTCCCCCATGATCCCACAGAGGAGCCTCCCCCGGGCTGCTCCCAGCCGAGGGATCCGGGGACCACGGTTGAAGGGAGCGGTGTCTGTCTTGCAAGCACCTGCTTCCAGGTGCCATGTCCCCGCCGTCCCCGCCAGACGTGGTTTTGGAACCCCAGCGGCCTCCTTGCCTCCTGGGAAGTGCACAGCAATACAGGAGCCCATGGAGAGGCCCAGGTACCTCGTGCGGCTGGCAGCCCATTCCCTGCAAACCATGGGGAAGACGGAACGGCTGTCGGGCGGGTGTGTGGCATCTTTGTTCTTGTCTTGACCCCCCCCCCCCCCCCGTGAGCTCCCAGGGCTTTTCCCAAGCATAGGACGGGCTCTTTGTGGGCAAAGGAGGATGCAATCGGAATATGTGTCACAGGAGTGGGGGAAACTGCCCATCAGGCCACGGTCTTAGGAGCAGACGCTGAGGTTTCCCAGAGAAGAAGGAATTCTGAGTCCAGACAGCAGGGTCAGCTGGTGCCTGGGTCTCTAGCCCCGCCCCCTGCCCTGCGGATTTCAGACTCACCAGCCCCACAATCAGTGTGAGCCAATTCCTTGAGATAAATACCTTTATGTATATGCACGTATATATATGCACGTCATAGGATGTCTATGTATAGATATACATACACATCTGTGCAGTAGTACATGTGTACACATACATGCAATTGAATATACACGTGTATAGATACATGCTTCTATAGCTCTCCATCCTTTGGTTTCTGTTCCTCCGGAGAAACCTGATGATACAGAGCCAATGGTCCTGAGAGCCCTCCTGGGGCTGGGGGACCATGACGAGATGCTCGTTACTTTTATGCTGACCCTCATGTTAAGAGACAGTGGGTTTGCATTTCCAGACCCTTCCATAGAGCGCTCGGGATAACAAAGGTGGGAGGTCCCTGCCCACGGCGGCCCCTCCCACTGGGTCCTCACGCCGCGCTTTCTCAGAAACGTTAAATCCAAAACCAGCTGGGAACAGGTGGCTGGGTCTCCTGCCCACGTTCATGGCGTGAAAGCCCCTGCTCTTTGCCTGGAGCCGCTGGGGAGCACCAAGCCTGCCCTTCAGAGCTCACGGAACAGAGTCTGGAGCCAGAGCCCCAGAGCCCTGGGCCGGGCAGCCATGCCGATGCCAGGTCCCAACACGCCGGGTCCCTCCTGCAAATATGGGCATAACTGAGGTGTGGGCAGATGCCCTGGATGCCCTCCGGAGCCAGTAGGCTCTGAGCTGCTGGCACCTGAGCCTCGCACTCCTGAACTTCTGTTTTTCCCGCTGATCTGCCCCCCCGCCCCCATGACAGAGAAGTCCACCCAGCTGTCCGCACACCCCACTCCTGACTGCCGGCCCCTCAGACCCGCAGAGAGGGAGGGCCCGGGCCTGGGCCCGGCGGGGACAAGGGATCCCTGGGGCTGCCTACACCCCGCCTTCTGGGTACAGCGGGTCCCCGTTTCACTTTCTTTCTAATTTCTTATGTAAATGCAAACCAAAGGCGGCTCACTGTTCACTTCTGCTGGTTTTCAAAGTCTGGGTGACGGCTTTGCTGCCCTATCGACCTGGAGGACACCGGAGTTCTCTTTCTTCGAATGCCAGACAAAAGAGCTTTAACACTTAAAAGTAGGAAAAACAGCAACAAAAACACCCCAACAAAACACACAAACAAACACAAAAGGAAGAAAGAGAAGCGCGGCGTGTGCGTTTTCTCACTTTCAAAGATGGCACTCAAGTTGGGCCACCTGACCTGGAGTCCACGGGGTGGGGACAGCTGGTGGGGGTCAAGGACATGGCTTAAGGATGCTGTAAGGGACCATTAGGTGTGCTGTTGTGCTGAGGATCTGCCCAGGATGCCATGTTCCTGTAAGGGGCCGTCTGCAAGCCAGGAAGAGGTCCTCACCACAACGTGACCCCGTTGGCACCTTGATCCCAGACATCCGGCCTCCGGGACTAGGAGAAGTAAATGTCTGTTGTTTAAGCTGCCCCGTCTGCAATATTCTGTGATAGCTGCCCGAACTGACCCAGACAGACATTATACTGATGGCCTCAGCCCGTGGCTGCATGCGAGCTGTGGTGGTGACACGGCGGTGGTCACAGGTGTGTGTTCCCTGCACCGCACCTCACAGGACCCCGCATCTGGCTCTTAGGTCTCCCTGATGGGTTCACCTGGGTTTTGACTCGCTCCACTTGAATCCAGAGTTTCCTTCTGGCTGGGGTCACCTGGAGAAGCCCTTTGCCCCCGAGGGTTTGGGACTCGGAAACCGGAGCTGCAAGCTTGTGCAAACAGCACGTCGTGTAAAAGTTGGCCGGGTCTTAGCCAGCCTGGGGGTCTTTCCCTGGAGCCCAGCGTACACCCCACGAGAGGAAACTCTGCCATCGGCCTGGGGTTTCGAGGTCTGTGTTTCTCACCGTACCTCTTACTTCTCTTCTCGAGATCCCGCCGGGGATGACCGCGTTGCTATTTTGCCGTTGGCCGAGGCTGTCCCTTCTGCATTTGACCGCGAGTGTGTACGATGCTGGGGATCCTGAAATCAGGGCGTGGGGCTCAGCCGGGCACAGGACCCTAAGACACCCACGGCTCCCATCCGCACTGCAGTCTGACTTGTCCCGACATGGTCACAGGGGCGTCCATCCCTGGATGTCTGTTAGCGGGAAACGTGGTCCTTGAGCCACCGGCGAGGCCAGGACCCAGCCTTCGACGCTGATCTGACTGCAACTCCCCTTTCAAGCCTTCCTGCCCTGGTCTTTCTTCCTCTGCAGGAGCCGTGCCACCTGTGGTGCGTGTGTGCACAGCGAGCTTCCGCAAACCCACTTAAAAATGGCCCGGGTTTCGCTTTGAGTGGAAAGAGTTCTGCTCTGCTGGCTCACGGCCAGGTGCCATCCTATGGTCATTGCGGGGGGTGGGTACGGGCCCCTCCTCACAGCCACCCACCTCCATCCATCCTCGGCTTCAGGAGGAAAAGGGAGCCGTACTTCTTGGGATCCCCGTGGCTGCTGCAGCGGGACCCATGGAAGGGAGAGATGCCGATAATTTACAGAAGATGGGGGTGGGGGGGTGGGGGTGGGGGTGGGGGTGGGGGGTGGGTGTGTGTGTGACCTGGGAGGCTGCTGTGTGTCCCCGGGGAATGGGGGTGGTGGTCTGAGAAGATCAATGAGGGACAGAGCTTCAGACAGAGAATCCATCCCCCTCGAGTGGAATTCCGAGGGCGGGGCGGCATTTGGGAGGCCTTTTTCCATTTCTGCTCAAACAGTTATGAATGCCACCCCCACCCCCCAGGGGTTTTGATCTGTCCTAACCTCCAGGTGGGAGCGTCAAAAGAGTGTGAATTTGCATAACACGCGGCTGCCCTGCATGGGTTGCAGAAAACCCATGTGGATGTCAGGAGGCTCCGGGCACCCTCTGCAGCCCTGTAGCTGCTGCCTTCCCCCCGCCGTGGGCCCCCCCTCCGTGCTTTCACCTGTACCATCTCAGGGGAGGGCAGGCAGCCCCCTTGGGGCTCCAGAAGCCCAGCCTGCCGCCGGCTGCAGAGATCACGGCTGATTAATAAAGAAATCACCTCTAACAGATGCCGGCTTCTCTGACACCCACGGCGTTTGCGGTTTGGACCTGGAGGAGGTCTGGGCGGTGACAGGATGGAAATTTTGTGAAACGAGCAACGAACAGCCACTGGTGGCCGCCAGACGCTCCCCAGGCGCTGGGCGAGCAGAGGTGGCTCTTGCAAAAGGCACCGGACACAGGGCTGCCCGAAGCAGGCGGCCTGGAGGCGGCGGGTGGGAAGTTCTGGCTTGTTCTCTGCA